CATCACCACCACCTCCACTACCACCTCCATCTCTACCTCCTCCACCACTACTGTCACCATCTCCACCACCACCTCCACCTCCACCGAGGTCACCCTGCTGCCCGCCCTGCTCGGTGCTGCCTGAGGCCCTCCACAACCACCTGCCAACACTTTAACAAGGGTCCTTAAGGGTTGGCTTTGTTTGCTAATTACACCTTAGCTCTTAATCATCATGTACGTGGGAGAACAAGTGCATGGCCAGAAACGCCAACAAGACACCTTCCGGAAGCCAGTGAGGCTCCACATTAACCTGGTGCGTGCCCACCTAGTGTGGGCCTAGGCGAACCATGCCCGCAGGGCTGGCGGGCTCCTGTGGTGTGCCTCTGCAGTGGGTGTCTGAGGGCTCCACACTGGGAGGCGGTGGAACTTGTGAATGCACCAGTTCCCTCTCAGAGCCCTGAGAGCCCAGCTGCCAGGGAGCGCCATGGGGGCCCAGGGGAGCATGCCGGCAACCACGCTGTTGGATACTGTCACCCAGTCTCTCCCGACTCACAGCCACCCTGTGCCCAACAGAGGGAGCACTGCTTGGCTCTGCGCCAGCCTCACACAGGTTCCTACATCTAAGCCCACGGGCGGCCGCGGTGTCTTCAGGGCTGTGTGGGCGAGCACGGTAGCTGCTGAAGGAAGAGCTCACGCCACCCCGTTTAAAATAACCGCAAGGCTAGGCTAAAACGCGTCCCTCCTCTCGTCCTCCAAAGTCTCTCTGGCAAACCCTGCCCAGAAGGACTTTGTCCTGCCCAGGGCAACCTGAGTTTTATCATCACAGTGGAATGCCGTCCGTGATTGTCCTTGGGGCAATCCGGGAGGACCAGTCAGGCATTCTACCCTCGGGCAGATGTGTTTATCTTTCCCTTCCCAGGGTGCTTAACTGAAGACAAGGTCCAGGGCAGGGTCATAAAACAGGGTGCCCCAGAGCTGTACCTGGATCTGCTTTATTTCCAGGTCTGCCAACATTGTTCACTAAGGACACACGCATTTTTAAGCTGCTTTCTATACCCTGCACCAGGCCTGCTCCCTGAAGGCTAGAAGAACCACAGCCAAAGGAGCACAGGCCTGCCCGAGGCGGACCGTCCCTCTCGACGTGCCCCCGCGGTCCGGGCCGGCCTGCTGTAATGAAGACTTCCCATACTTGACTCGGACATTGTGGTGGTCTTCATTTACCCGCAACAGCTGCCAGGAAAAATCACTTAAGTCTAAATTACTGAACGATGTGGACAGGACACTAAAGGTCCAGTTCCCCAGCACCCTGGCTGGTTCCTGCCCGGGGGTCCAGTGGTGCCAAGCCGGACAGCTCAGATCAGGAGTGTCCTTATCTGCTCCTCAGATGGCTGTGGGGACAGTAAGTAGGGGGCGCCTTTCCATCTTGGTCACCCACCTGTGGAGGGCAATATGTTGCCTGTGAATATGTTGCCTGTGTGTTCTTGTGTGTGTGTGTGAGTTTGTATGTACATGTGTATGCATGTGTGTGCGTGTATATGTGTGTATGTGTACGTGTATATGTATGTGTGAATGAGGGTGTGTGTGTATGAGTATACATGTGTATGAATGTGTATATGTGTGTGTGCATGAGGGGCATGTGTATGAGTGTATGTGTGTGTGATTATATGTATATGTATGAATGTATATATATATGTGTGTGTGCATGAGGGTATGTGTGTATGAGTATGTCGTCTGTGTGTATATATGTGTGTGTATGAGTGTATGTATGTGTGTGTATGAGCCTATGTGTGTGTGTCTATGTG